AGCCTTAGCTCCTCTTCAATTTTTTTGAAATAGTTTGAGAAGGATAGGTGTTTATTTGTCTTAGAATTTTTGGTAAAATTCACCTGGGAAGCCACCTAGTGCAGGACTTTTGTTTTTGTTGGGAGTTTTTTGATGACGGATTCAATTTCATTAGTAGTTATTGGTAAGTTCAGATTTTCTTTTTCTTCTTGATTCAGTCTTGGAAGATTGTATGCTTCTAGGAATCTGTCCATTCCTTCCAGATTGTCCAATTTGTTGGCATGCAATTTTTTATAGTATTTCCCTATAATCCTTTGTATTTCTGTGGTGTCATTTGTCAATTCTCTTTCATTTCTGAATTTATTTATTTAGGTTCTCTGTCTTTTTTTCTTGATGAGTCTGGTTAAAAGTTTATCAACTTTGTTTATCTCTTCAAAGAACCAGCTTTTGGGTTCATTGGTCTTTTGTATTGTTTTTAAGCCTCTATTTGGTTTATCTCCGCTCTGACCTTTATTAATTTCTTTCTACTCACTTTGGGCTTTGTTTGTTGTTCCTTTTTCAATTCCCTTGGTGTAAGTTTAGATTGTCTATCTGAGATTTTTCTTTGTTTCTTTTTTGAAGTAGACCTGTATTGTTATGAATTTCCCTCTTAGAACTGCTTTCACAGTTTCCTCTAGACTTGGGGTCATTGCGTTTTCATTTTCATTTGTCTCAAGGTATCTTTTGATTTCTTCCTTAATCTCATTGTTAACCCTTTCATTGTTTAATAGCATGTTATTTAGCCTCCATGTGTTTATGTGTTTTTCAGTTTTCCTCTTGTTTTTTATTTCTAGTTTCATACTATTTTGGTTGGAAAATATGCTTGATATGATTTCAATCTTCATACATTATGGAGACTTGTTTTGTGGCCTAACCTGTGGTCTGTCCTGGAAAATGTTCCATGTACACTTAAAAAGAATGTATATTCTGCTGCTTTGGGGTGAAATGTTCTAAAATTATCAATTAAACCCATATGATCTAATATGTCATTTAAAGCTGCTGTTGCCTTGTTGATTTTCTACCTGCATGATTTATCTTTTATGTCAATGGATAAAGGACTGTATTACTGTTGATCTCTATCTCTCTTAATGTCCATCAATATTTGCTTTATATATTTAGGTGCTCCTATATTGAATGCATCAATGTTTACAAGGGTTATATCCTCTTGTTAAATTGATCCTTTTATTATTGTATAATGTCTTTCTTTGTGTCTTGCTACAGCTTTTGTTTTAAAGTCTATTTTGTCTGGAGTATTGCTACTCCAACTTTTCTTTTTGTTTCCATTTACATGAAATACCTTTTTCTACCCCTTTACTTCTAGTATGTGTCTGTCTTTCAATCTGAAGTGTGTCTCTTGCACACAGCATATATATTGATCTTATTTCTTATCTATTCAGCCATCCTATGCCTTTTCATTGGTGCATTTAATCCATTTACATTTAAAGTAATTATTGTTAAGAATATAGTTATTGCCTTTTTTAAAATGCAAGTTTATTGGTGTGACAATTGTTAGCAAAGTTACATAGATTTCAAGGGTATGATTCTATAATACATCATCTATATATCACATTGTGTGTTCACCACTCAGAGTCAGTTCTCTTTACATCACCATATATTTGACCGCTTTACCTTCATCTACCACCCCCTTCCCCCCCTTACCCTCTGGTAACCACTAAACTATTGTCTGCATCTATCAGTTTTTATTTCTTCATTTTTTTGTCTTGCTCCTTTGTTGTTTTCAATTTTATATACCACATATCAAAGAAATTATATGGTTCTTGACTTTTTCTATCTCACTTATTTCATTTTTAATAGCTAATCTATATTTATAAATATAATTATATACTCACATATAAAAACTAGTTTTTCACACTTGAAGTTAGAATCCAATTGCCTGATATCATTAATTAGATACAGATGCCATTGCTTGTACCTAAAAAATGAAGACTGGAGTTCTATTAGAGAAGGATGGTGTATCCACATGTGCAAGGTATGTGAAACAGATGAGAGAGAAACAGGTGGAGAGAACTGGATGGGGAACACCTGTCCTCGCAGGATCAAGGAATCAGCCATCCTGAACTTCTTCTTTCTGTACTCTTGGTCTTTGGGGATTTACAGTCTGCTGGGATCTGAATAACAGTAAAAGCATTTGTCTAATGAGGAGCTTTTGATATTAAACCTCCAAGGATGCAGAGACTGCAAATAGTTTTTCCATGACCACTGCACTCATCAATCCTGTCCATTCAGGAAGCAATAACTGTGTCTCCTCCCAGAGATGATCCCTGTTGCCCAGAAACATGGGGCAACAGGCTTCTGCCCTTCTCAGACACAGATCTTCTATCTCTATCATTCAATATCTGGGAAGATGTCTACTATCATCTCACAATGATGCCAGCCAGGTAACCTCAAGTCTCTTAAACAGTGCTTTGGGCATGCGGGTAGGTGTTTGCTACAGTTTCATCCATGCACAGCTGTGAGGAGAGTCCATGCTTAAGATGATTGATACTAAGTTCCCTGTACAACTTATGCCTGTCTGTCATTATCATGACATGTTTTTTGTACATTGGCAATGATACCCAGCTCTCATTCTGCTAGTTTTCTACTATGCCTATGTAATGGCAGGAACCATTTTGTTCTGAGCCTAAATCCTCTCCTTCTCAAACATGATGACTGAGAGAAAATTCTTTTACTTCCATCCCTGTGGTGGTGAAGAGAAGAGGTGTAGTATCCTTTTAACCTACCATAAACCTTCTAAGAAAAACTAACAATAAATAAATAAATAATTTTAAAAACTTAATGTTATTTTTATTATGTGGCTATGAGGACTCTGGAGAAGGAAGTGTAGACCCAGACAACAGAGCAGACTCCTTCCTTTGTCCACTTTACAAAGTATTCAATAGTTTAAATTATAAGAACAGCATTGATATTACAATAATAATTTTAAAATACAACTATCCACCCTTTTACAGAATTAACAAATGATGGCATTTTGCTATATTCATGCATTTTTTAAAATAAAGGAACAAAATAATATACATACAGATGGAACCCCTTTTTGTAATCTCTTCATTTTCTTTACAGAGGCAACATCAATGTGATGGTATCCCAAAGGCAGGATTTCATATTTTATATGTATCCATAAATACATATATATGTACATATAACAGTTATATATATATGTATATGAAAATATTTAATAAATATAAACATCATAGTATCTCTCAACTAGAAAATTAACACATGAATTGTGATGTAACAATATAGTGGAACAGTCTATGGTAGTTAAAATAAATGAAACAAAACAATGTACCAACATTAATAAAAAAATATTAAATGCAGAGGCCAATTATAAAATGGCTGGTACTCTGCTTAGTTACTGCTTTTTAAATGGAAACAAACCCAGTACACTTGCTGATGGAAAAATACCAAATATAAGAAAAAGTGTAGCAGTATAATGTATATCAAGTTAATGTAGTGATTCCCTCATGGAAAGAAAAGAGTCAATTTGTACAAAGACCTGAGGTGGAACCCTTAAAAAATACCTATTATTTATTTCAATGAAAATACCTAAAGAAAAGATGGTGAACTGTGTGAATTTAATAACATTGAGTGATGGGTACTCAAGCTTTCATTATTATCCTCTATACTTTTTGTTATGCTTGCATACTCCAAAATAAATATAAACATACCTATGCAGGTTTTAAAATAATTTAAAATTTCTCATACTGTAGACTCTATTTCAAACAACTTTTTCTCTTGTGGGTTTTTGTTGCTTGTGTTGATTCATATATCTAATTTATATTATTATTTAATTCATTTCAATTGCTTTATGTCCATGTCAAATGAATATTGATATCATTGATATTTCCTTTTTTACCCCATACATGAACAAGATTCCAGAGGGAATTTCAGTACATAAACCCATCACTGAAATTTGCATTGTCATGCTAAGGATGTTCTCTTTTTCTTTCCTGTTTCCTCAACTTGCCGTACACTGGAAGTTTCCTCCTAGGAGTGAAACATGTCATGTACTTGTAGTCAGCAAAAAAATAATAATCACAATATGAAATGTTATAATGAGGGTCCCATATGCTGAGCACTGACCTGGCTGCCCTAAGCCTACTCAATTTTCATCATTGAAACAACCCAATTAAGTTTATGTTAGTTCCCAATACACAAGTGAGAACATTGGGCTTCTCATACAGTTGAAGGGTTTCACCAGTCAAAAAGCAAGTTGTGAAGCTGTATGAAATTCAGAGTGCCTGAGTCTAAGATTTACACCAAATAATTGATTCTCTGATGGCCACTTCTGTGTCTCTAAGGACAGATAAAACTACTACAGCACAGGAACACACCTTTTAAGATGCCTGGTACTAGTGTTATCTGACAAGTCTCTTTCTTCTGATGACCAAATTATTTTCTTATTTGATGTCTTTTTAGGATCCTATGCATTTCGTCCTTTTTTATTATCAACCAACTTTGTTTTAATCATATATCACTTATCACGTTAGAGAAAGAACATTCCTAAAGATGAGATTTTGTTATTTTATTCTTATATTTCTATTTGTTTGAAGGTGAGAAATAATTCTGAAGAAATAAAGCAAAGTCTTCTTTATTCCATTCTAATGACCTGCCACAATGTATTACACAGTCATTACTCAACAAAATTTTGGGCTATTAAGTGAGTAGAGGGAAGAGGGGCAGGGAGAGAAAAAGGATGGAGGGAAAAATAAGCAGAATGAAACATTGAAGTATTCACATGGGTTCACAGTATAGATGACTGTTTCTCTAGAGCAACAGTTCTCAAACTTTAGCCTATGTCAGAATCATCTGGAGAGATTGTTAAAACAGATTGCTGGTCGTCACCCCTGGATCTTATCGTCAATAAACCTGGAGTGTGGCACAAATATTGGCACTTCTAACAAGGTCCCAGGTACTGTTATGCAGAACCAGGGATCATACATTTATTTTCACGTCACTCAATGTTTTACATCAGATTCATCAACTATATAGAACCCAGAAACAAAACAGATATTTCAGGATTTGTCCTCCTGGGATTGACAGATGATCCAGAACTACAGCCCATCCTCTTCTGTCTGTTTCTGTCCATGTACCTGGTCACCGTGCTGGGGAACCAGCTCATCATCCTGGCTGTCAGCTCAGACTCCCACCTCCACACACCCATGTACTTCTTCCTCTCCAACCTGTCCTTGGCTGACATCTGTTTAAGCACAACCACCATCCCAAAGATGCTGGTGAACATCCAAACACAGAATCAGCACATCTGTTACACAGGCTGCTTCACCCAGATTTGCCTTGTTCTGATTTTTGGTGGTATGGAAAACTTTCTCCTTACAGCAATGGCTTATGACCACTATGTGGCCATTTGTCACCCTTTGATGTACACGGTCATCATGAGCCCCAACATCTGTGGGCTGTTGATTCTCCTCTCCTTGCTCATCAGCATTGTGAATGCCCTGCTCCACAGTGTAATGGTACTTTGACTGTGGAAACTGTATATCCCCCAATTATTCTGTGAACTTGCTCAGGTCATCAAGCTCACTTGCTCGAACTCTCTCATCAACACCATCCTGGCTAATTCTATGGATAGTATATTCAGTGGTATTTCTCTTACTGAGATTATTTTCTCTTACATTCAAATTGTCTCTTCACTTGTGAGAATTCCATTAGCAAGCAGAAAATATAAAGCTTTTTCCACCTGTGGGTCGCATCTCTTAGTTGTCTTCTTATTCTATGGCACAGGTTTTGGGGTGTACATCAGCTCTGCAGTTACTGACTATTCCAGGAAGACTGCAGTGGCCTCAATGTTGTACATTGTGGTTCCTCAAATGTTAAACCCCTTTATTTACAGCCTGAGGAACAGAGATATGAAGGGAGCCTTGAGAAAAATAATGAGTAGGATAACATTTCGTCAGTGATTGTGTCATCACATTTGGGCTCGGTTTCTAAAGTGAGTCAAAGCGAAAGATATTCGGTTGTTTCAAATAACTAACATTTCTTTCACCAAGGTCTAAAATGATAGATAACATGATGACTAACTAAGTCCATTTCAAATTAGCCTTGAAATCTGATTTTGCTCTTTGTCTTTCTCTGTGATGTTTGACAAGTGATTTCAACTGTCTGAACTCAGATTTTTGGATCACATCCACAGAAATAGAGCCTCAGCCCCAAATCTTGTAATAGTAATTTTGGGGTCGAATGTTTTAACATAAATGTGGGAAAAGTTAGATAGGACCAAGGAAGGATTTAAGCAAGCCTACAGTTATAAGTATTGAGTAGCTTTTCACCTAATCTCATGGTTAGGACCATGTGAATTTCACCTCAGATTTAGGCCTACTGTGAGACAAGGAAGCTGACCTTTCTCACCCCAACACAGCAATTACTGAGAGTAGTCTCTATTATACTGTATCTCTTTGGTGCAGCACCAGAATACCCCATATTCAGTTTCATAAGGTATAACATTGATATAATTAGATCATGACAGCTGTTTCAGATGATTTGAGATACTTGAACTTAAAGCTGAAGTGTTCAGTTCTGATAAGAAAAAAGAAACCCTGGTTTGTTAACATACAATATTATCCTATTTCAGCTTCAGGTGTATAGCACAGTGGTCAGGCATCCACACAGTCAATGAAGTGATCCCTTGATAAGTCCACTACCCATCTGACACCCTACATGATTTTTACGACAGTGTTGACTATAATCCTAATGCTATATTTCACATCCACATGACTATATTGTGTCCACTAACTTACTCTTCCTAATCCCTTCGTCTTCTCTCCCATCTCTTTCTCCCCTTATCAAGCAACCAACAGTTTTTTTCTATATCTCAAGTCTAATTCTGTTTTGTTTGCTCATTTATTCCATTCTTTAGAGTCCACATATAAGAGAGATCATATGGTATTTGTCTTTCTCAGTCTGACTTATTTCACTTAGCATAATACTTTCAAGGTCCATTATGTTTTTGCAAATGGCAAGGTTTCATTCTTTTTTTATAGCCAAGTAATACTCCGTTGAATAAATGTACCACAGTTTCTTTATCCAATCTTCTATCAGTGGCCATTTCAGTTGTTTCCATATCTTGGGTATTGTGAATGGCGCTGCAATAAACATAGGGGTGCATATATTTTTTTGAATTTGTTTTGAATTTTTTTGATAGATACTATACCTAATATACATGAAGTCACAGGCAGTGGAGTATAGCATAAGGAAGATAGTCAACAGTATTGTAACAGTTATAAGATGTCAGAGGGGTAGTATCTTGGGAGATGGGGGTTATCACTTTGTGAGGGGTGTAAATGTCTAGTTATCATGTACTAATAAAATAATAATTAAAATAATAAATAAATAAATAAATAAATGCCATGACTCTAATATTCTTATACAAGAAATAGAGTTATCTTCTATTACAGTTACTTCAGGTATAGGAAATATACAAGAATAAAAGAGTAGAGATTCATTCATTGCTCTGTGAGGTGGCTTCTTTCTAGGACTAGTGATGGGAGTACATGCAGGTGTCATGTTCAGACATGATGCCCAGACAGAGAAAATTGACTGTCCTTCCATGAGTATTTGACACTGACCTCTTCATGGCATCATCTAGAAGCTATCTCCATCATCTCCTCACTGAAAATAGGATGATACATCCCTTCTGATTACTAGCATGGAGTAAAATGATTATTATGCAAGCCTTAGACTGACAACCTAGGGTTAATTCCTTTTGGGCAGTCAACTCTTATAACTACTACAAGCACTTAATATGACTCCTGAAATATAGTGGTATTCATAACATTTAACTGGTACAATAATTTCCCGTATCATGCCTATATTCTTAAACGTTCTAATCCTTTTGCACTCACACATTTTTACTACCTGCTTCATCATTTCTATTTGTTTACATTGTAATATCTATCGGCAGTTTTTCTGGTCTGAGGAATATAATCAAATCATTAATTATTGGGTAGGCAGCGTAATGGTCATCGATCTTTTCTGATACTTTATTTGCTTTGATTCCTTTGGGTTGTTTATTGATAAGGCTGTTTCTGCATGTTTATTTACCTCTTTAGTTAGTTATGCTTGCTGTGTTTCTTACTCATCTCTAATGGAGCACATGCAGAGAAACATGGTTGCATAATACCAACTGACTGTCAAGTGTTGAAGAGTTGGCTGCATATTAAGGTGGTTAAGCAAAATTTGATTATGTGTGTTTGAGGGAAACAGAGTTTTTAGACGGGGGAGACTGAGAATGAAAAGTGACAAAAGAGAAGAGTGTCGCGGATATTTAGGGGCCATATTATTTCTCCAAAGTCTAAAATATCAGGTCTCAACAGGTGAGAACCATATTGTATGAGATGTGTGGGACAACAGGAGTCCGATGGAGGTCTCACAGGAGAATCAAGAGAGCACCCCTCATCTACAAGGGGAGGTATTGTGTCAGCACTGCAATGGGAAGACAGCTCCCTGCCTGACACCCAGGGTGTCCTCCAGTGCAGAGCTTCCTCCATTGATATCCACAGAACACCTTCAGAGATGAATCACCTGAGACCTGTGTTCACACTGCAGATTTCTGGATATCACTTGAGCACATTTGATTTTGAATCTTTAGGGAGACTTCCAACCAAGGGTTGCGTTTTAAAAATAAGCACTTCGTGAGTTTCTGATACATTCTGCAGCCTCAGAAACATAGAAACATGACTTGAATATTCAAAGAACTTGGGAGGCCATATTAGTATGAACGGTTTTACCTCAATTTTACTTCTTAAAATATCATATACAAAATGGAGTATAAATGTATCTATAGTTCTTAAAGAGTAGTTATATGATGAAAGCACATGTACTTATTACCAAGTTAACAATGAAGCATTGACTATGCTTGAAGCGTTTCCCAGTCACATCACCTCTCCATCCCTGAGGTAACCACTATTCTGATTCTATATTTGTCACTTATTTTGATGCTCTCCTAGGTTGAATACTGTGAAATTGCCCATGTTTGAACATGTTTGGTCTACAAACTGACATTTTCATAGAATTCAACTGCATCTTTTTATCACCACTGTATGTATCCTTATACAACCTATTAGCCACGTTTTCAAAATAAATTGGCCTGATTTGGACTTATGAAAAGTTTAATCTTGGGTTTGAATTCTATGTCTTAATTATTTTTTGCACTATTGTATTTTTGGGATTTAAAGTTTTTGTTGGGTGCATCACTAATTAATTCACTTTCTGTGCCATATACTTTTACATTGTGTATGGTGATATCAAAAATAGTTATCCTTTCTGATGTGAATGGAAATTTTAATAGCTGATGTTCTGCTATTATGGATATCTTGTTTGAATAATTGCATACATTTCCTGGAATAAATGAGAAACAGTTTTATGTTAGGATTGGAGTTATGAAGTCATATGGGAGTACCAAAACCTTTTGAGTTGTTCAAAAGAGTATTCCTAAGTGGTTGAACCAATTTTAATTCCCATTAAAAGTTTCTTGGGGCCGGCTGAGAGGCTCAGTTGGTTAAGAGCGCAAGCACTAAGCAGCAAAGTTGCCAGTTCGATTCCCACATGGGCCAGTGAGCTGCGGCTGAGCTGAGCTACCACTGAGCTGCCAACAGGAGGCAGGATGGCTCAGCTGGTGACAACACATGCTCCTAACAACAAAGTTGCTGGTTCAACTCACACATCGGATTGTGGGCTACGCCCCCCCACACCCTGCAGCTCCCTTGCAACTAAGATTGAACATGGCACCTTAAGCTGAGCAGCCATGAGCTGCCAACATGCAGCCAGATGGTGACTGGACTTCGAGCTGAGCTAGCTGAGCCCTCCACAACTAGGGTTGAAGGGCAACAACTTGGCTGTTCCCCTTCTCCAATTCCCCAATAAAATATTTAAGTAAAAAAGGTTTCTTGAGATCCACATCATATCCAATACATTTTCATTTACTCTGACAACTTAATGGGTTTAAAATATTATTTAATATACATTTCTCGTATGACATTGGGAATCTTCTCACATTCAATGGCCACCTATTTTTTCCTATTTTGTAAAATATTTGTTGATGGCAATTCTATTGAGCTGCTTTTTTTATTAATTCATAACAATTATTTATTTAATTGGAATAGTAATCCTCATCAGTTATATGCATTGAAATTTTCATCTGGTGTGTGGTCTGTTTTGTACATCATTTGTAACCTTTTTGGATGAACATAAATGCTTAGTTTTAACAAAGTCGTATTTGTCAATATTTTCTTTAATAGTTTGCTCTCAATAGGTCATTTTTGTCACCCATACTTATTATGTCAAGATAAAGCATGTATAGTTTGACCTTTTACATTTGAAGCATGAACCCACTAGAGTTTAGTATTTCCAACCTTGATGTAAGATAGGAATCCAAAGCAATTTTATGTCCCTGCACCTATTAATTAGTTCATGCATTCATGGTAATCTCACTTCTGAAATAAATCAGCTGTCAGTTTATGTTTTGGTTTTACTCTGGACTCTCACTTCTGATCAGTAAGTCTATTGTATCACTTCCTGTCTTAATAATTGTATCATAACAATCAGCTAAAATAAAATTTGTTGTTAAACAAGCCCCACAGCCTACAGTTACATATTCAAAGGTACATTGTATCACAGCTTGACTGCTATTCCGGTCATTTGTAATTTACTGCAACAATATTGATAACCAAGAGGCATAATATCAACCCATGGTGCATAATGTGTAAAAAGTATATTGAAGCTACTGATATTACATTCAGAAAATTTGCTAGTGAAATTTTAAAGAGAATAAAATACCTATTATATTTGAGTGCACAAAATGTATTAGAAACTGCTAAATATAATATGCATAAACAGAATCAACATTCAATGAGACATACATAAATTAGCCCATAGTGTCTGTATTTTTAGGATACAGTCACTA